CCATGGGAGAGTGGCTGACACGCACCATGCCGGCTTCGGCCACGGTTCTGAGATCTGCTGCCACTTTTCTGTGGGCTACTCCTCCATTCTCGCTTCCATGCTAGGTTGTTAATCTACTGTTCTATAGCTGTATTTTAAAATATTTTAGGGAGACTAGCCTTTGTTCTAAGAGTTGAAAAACTGTTCAATCTTTCGTCTTGATTTTGCCTTACAGATGTTTTGATTGGCTTTAGATATTAGAATCAATTTTTGATACCGGTTATTTAGGATATAATTTCCCTTTTAAGGTATGTTTTGTGTGTCTTGATAAAAACTGCTTATGAAAGACAATTTATAACTGGGAATGTGTGAAACACTTCAGATTTCATTCACTACAGTCAGACACTGTGTTACTGTTTTTTGTTCAAAGACAGAAATATATAACGTATGCAGCACATAAATAAAAACACAAAATAAAATGTTTCTATTAATTTTGTCTTGTTTTCCTCCCAGAGAGATTATTCAGGAAAATACACTAAGAAGACACAGCCTAAGGCATACAATCAGAAGAAGAAGAAGAAGAAACGCCAACCACAGAGCCCACAAACAGGTACGCACACAGCTGACGAAAAAGCAGCACCTAGGATTTCACTTTCGGGACCTGAGCAGCGATGGCTTAGGCCCTGCCTCGGAGTGCTCGGTGCCCTGGGGAAAGCTGCTTACGCTCTGTACCATGGTTTTCGTTTTTTTAATTTTTTAAAAACCATACATTTATATATTTTATTTGGCACAGGGTCTCACTATGAAGCTTGGACTCATAGTGCTCCTCCTGTCTCAGCCTCCCCAGCACTGGAATTACAGGTGTGTGCCACCACGTCAGGTTCTGGGACTGGCACAGTATGTGGTACCAGGGATCAAACCTCGCTTCTGGCGCTTGCCAGGCAGGCACGTATGCTGCTGAGCTAGGTCCCCAGCCCTGTGCCATGGTTTCCGAATCTGTAAAGTGGTATACGGAACCTATCCCACAGGGCTACTGTGTGCATTATGGGATTCTGTATGTGAGATAAATGAGCAGAGTGCCCAGGACACAGAAAGCACTCAGATATTTATTTTTATATTTTCTTCCTTGTAAAAAGTCTCATGTGGAAAGGCACCACTGGCTGACAGAGAAGCTAACAGGCCTTAATAACCACAGCTAATAATAAAGAATGGAGAGATGGCCAGGCGTGGCAGCACACCCCTGTAATTTCAGCATTCTGGAGGCTGAGGCAGGAGGCTTGTTGTGAGTCTGAGACCAGCCTGAACTACAAAGTGAGCTCAAGGCCAGCCTGAGCTGTGTAGCAAGACCTTGTGTCAAAAAGAAAGAGAATGGATAGAACATATTAGTTTGTGTTTTGTGAGATGAACATGAACTCATGATGCAGTATGGTACTCACTCATGAAATGCGGAATGCTAAGTCCCGGGAATCTCTTCAGGAGTTACACACACACACACACACACACACACACACACACACACACACCCCAAATGTTTCTCAAATGGTTACAGATTAACAGTTTCACCACTACCTACGCAAAAGTCACTTGGAGACTCTGTCAAGCCCAGAGGTGGTTATCAGCTCTGTGGCACATGTCCTGGACACAAAATTCTAAGACAAATGTCCTGCACAACTTTGCTTCTGGTGACAAAAGCTGGAAACAGCTTTGGGTTCCAGCAGTTAGGGCTTGGGGCACTGGTCAAGGTAGGCAAGTTCAGAACCCCAACACCAGCATAATGGTTGTCTGTGAGTGCTGAAATAGGGAATAATTTTTAAAAGATAAATTTGTGTGTATCAAACATACACAACACAACATAAAATAAAACGGTTGTCATAATGGAGGAAATGAGTGGATCTGTCACCGCTTATAGCTGCACTCAGTCTCCTACATGATCACGTAACACCCTGAATCCCACACAACAGTAACTCCATTCTCCACTCCACATACTGGATTCCTCAAACTCACATATTTTGTTGTTGTTCGTTTCTGTTTTTTGATACCAGGGATCAAACTCAGGACCTTGCGCTTGCCAGGCAGGCACATACGCTGCTGAGCTAGCTCGCTGGCCCCATATATTGCTACTTTGTACCAGCTAACCCAAGTCTTCCTGTACCCCATCCCCTCACCCTGGAGTGAATTTGGGGGTGATTGGGTGCTAGGAGAGCACTCTGCCGCTGAGCTGCAGCCTAACATGGACTGATTTACTGTTTTGTTTTTTGTCTTTTTGAGACAGGGCCTCACTATGTAGTTCAGGCTGGCCTTGAACTCACTTTTTAGCCCAGTCTGGCCTTGAACTTGTAGCAATCCTCCTGCCCCAGCCTCCCGTGTGCTAGGATTACAGATGTGTATCACCATACCCAATTAACATAGATTTAAAAAATCTTTTTCTTTGTATTCTTCCATATTTTTCATTTTTTTTTTCTGCTGTAACACAAGACACTCTTGTAAGAGTAAAAATCAAAACAATTAATTCAGTGGTGAACACACAGCTGAAACTGGTATGGACGAGGGCCCTCTCGGCCTTCAGTTTTCTCAGCTGCAAAGGAGGCAGTGAAGGTAACAACCGCAGTCCCTGCTTACTCCCGACGGACAGGAAGCGATCAGACAGTCCCCTGCTACCGCTGCAAAGATGCTACCTCTCTCCCAGAAGGCTCTCACGTGGCACCGGAGCCATACAGAATACCATAAAAACTGAAAACCAGTGGCTATCCTTGTTCAGAATACACAACGACCGGAGTCAGGGCAGCGCCTGCACCGAGGTCCAGGAACATGCCAGTTCACAGGCACTGAGACGGAAGGAAAAATAAAGTGTCAAGCCAGACGAATTCTTTGAGAAAATTCCAACTAGAGTCCATTCCACAACAAACCACATGTGCTCCACTCGCTCCTGCCAACGGCCCAGGAGGATCCACTTCGCCCTGCTGCCCCGGCCTCTCCGCCCTGGGAGTCACTCACCCTGTCGGATGCGTACACAGCATCGAACAGCCCAAGCACGGTGACGGCGATTCCCACAGCTGGACCGTTCACCAGGGCCACCAGCGGCTTAGGGAAGTCGATAAAAGAGTCCACAAAATTCCTACAAGAAAGCAACAGAAACCATTCAGTGCTCCTGCGCTGTGTGCGTTCCTGAAGTACAAGCAGGGTGTCTCCAGGACAGCACCGACTGCAGCCTCCCACAGCGTCCCCTCCCCCGGCACCTTCGCCTGGTCCAACCAGGACATCCCCGAGTGGCCCCGGACGGAAAGCTGTGCTGCGAGTCAAAACCTGCTCGGCACCCACCTTTGGGGCCACGAGCTCAGGGCTGCCCACTGGCCGTGGCCTTAGAGACGGTGGCGACAAGGCGTAGCCAGCACCACATGGCATATGGAGCCAGAGCCAACCCTTGCGACGTCCTGTGTTTTTCAATACCATGTCACATCTCCTGTGATCACATTCACTGAGGCCATCCGTTCCCCTGGAGAACCTGCTCATTTCTTCTGTCCCAAGGACAGGATTCTACGGATGCGTGTGGTTCACCTATGCCTTTTACTGGGGCTCATGCAGACTGGCAGGACCAGAGGCCGGACACAAGCGAAGGCCCCGCTACTGACGGAGCTTAGGGACACGCTTGGTGGAGGCTGGAAAGAACCACATCTGGGCTGAGAACAGTTATTTCACCTTCTCTCAACTAAAACCACTTGCGTGCTTAAGTGCGAGCCCACAGGGCTCTGTGGCAAATGTCACTCTTACCTCAGGGTAAGCGCACTCTCTGCATACATCTGCTGTAAACTGCCGGATCTATTAGAGAAGTTACTCAGATCGTTCCCACTGCTGTAATAGTTGCCATTTCCTGTCAACAACAAAACCAGCAGACCCAGCAGTCACTCGTGTCCTCACTCACGCTGTGACTGCTGAATTTGCTCTGCACCGGGCTCTGTGTGGGCACCTGAGATGCCCTGGCGAAGCAACTGTGGTTCTTTCTTCATTCATAGACCAGCGAGGGAGAGGCTGTCTGTCCAGCAGACTCCCGGCCCCCCTTACCAGCAGTTTGGTTTCAGTTCAATGTGGACACTGTTGGTCTGAAAATATTAAGTGGAAAATTCCAGAAAATAATCCCTAAATTCTAATTAACTTTTGTTATTAAATATCATTATTTTTAAACATTAGTATTATTACCTAATTTATAAATAAAACTCTGTTAAACGTATGCATGAGCAGTTGTCCCTTGGCACCCAAGTACTTGGTTTCTGGGTGCCCACAGATGCAAAGGCCCACCCACCCAAATGCCACACTCGTACGGGAAGTGACACAGTCCTTGCTTGGATTCTGCATACTGTTATTTCCTGTAGCACTTAGGAAACAAGGATAAGGAAAAGTCTCTTTGGTACAGACATAAGTTTTGATTTGTTTAATCCATGGACACAAGACGTGAGGATACCGAGTGCTGTCTGCCGAAAAACTCCCAGCACACGCTGAGGGCATGGTAGCACTCTAAGGTTTTGGGCGTCTGTGGAAGGCCTGGCGTGGACCACTTGAGGATGAGGTGGAACCACTGTTCTGGACACAGTCAAGTAGGTGTTTACAGAGATCAGAGCTCATTAAAGTGAGCATTTCTGTTTGTTTGGTACCAGGGACTGAACTCACTGCTGAGCTATCTCCACGGCCCCAGGTGAACCCTTAAGAACTGGTGATTTCACTGTTTGTAAATTATTTTTAATAAACATTGCCCAATGACTTCACTCACTCTGAAAAAAAAAAAAAATGTTTTGTTTTGTTTGTTTATTGAGGCAGGATCTGGCCAGCTAGGAGGTCTCTGTGTAGCTCAGGTTGGCCTCAAAGTCACAGTTATCTTGCCGCAGTCTCTGAGTGCTGGGATTACAGACTTGTGCTACCATGTCTGACTGAAGATAAAACTTCTTAGAGGGATCTAGAAAGCCCCACATGGCCAATCCCGCTCATCTTCATTCTGCGCTCCCCTGGCTCCCTGCTTGATATGCACCAGCCGTGGCTCTTGTTCCAACCCACCAAACAGACTGGGGATCCCCGACACAGACCCTCTGCCCCGCTGCGCTCAACAAGGGTAACTCTTCCTACCTCTCCCTTCCAGATAGCGGCACTACTCCTTCAAGTCTCAGTGCAGTTAACTATCTCTTCTTTAGCAACATTCATCCCTAAGCTTCTGGATTAAACCAGACCCGTGTGGCACACACACCTTCATGCATCTCGCCTTTATATCATAGTTAAATTATCTACTTTTCATGTTTCAAGATCAATGTAAGCTAGGCATGGTGGGGTATGCCTGTAATCCCAGCATTCTGGAGGCTGAGGCAGGAGGATTGTTGCAAGTTTGAAACCAGCACGGGCTACAAAGTGAGCTCAAGTCCAGTCTGAACTGCACATGGAGATCCTGTCTTAAAAGACAAAAAAAAAAAAAAGAAAAACATAAAATCAATGTAAAGGCCTGGGAATGTGGCTCAGGGGTAGAGCAATTGCCTAGTATGTCCAAGGCCTTAGGAAGAAAAACAAACGATGAGAGGTGGAAGGGGAGGTGGAGGAAGACAGAACTGCAGAGGAGGCGGGTCATGCCACGAGGTCCACACCAGCACAGCCCGGAGCTCTCTTCTAGCCCTTCCCCACCACCCACTTTCACTCTTCCGTCACTATAGAACAGCACTTCTGCCTGGCATGGAACTGACATGCACTGAATCACACAGTATGGACCCTCTTGTGCTTGACTCACTCAGCTGAACCAGGTTTTAAAGACTTGCTCTTGTGGGTAGTAGTTAGCTGGTCCTTTTTATTTCTCAGTAGTATTCCGCTGCGTGAACAGTCGGCACTTTCTTCATCTGTCCATTTGACTTGCCTTCTGTTTTGGCTACGGAGGATGTGGCCACCATGACTGTTCTTGTACAAACCTAGCCTTGGGGATCTTGCTTTTCCTCGGATGATTATCAGAGAGCAGGCTGTCTGTATTTATTATGCTATTATTTTATTGGTTTCGTACAGGGGATCGAGCTCAGGACCCTGTACTTGCCAGGCAGGTGCTGGTGCCGCTATCTCCCCTGCTCTATCTTATTACTGTACACTTAACAAATTAAAGCGTGGCATACTGGAAAAGATCGCCACACTTTGTTTTTCAGTACCAGGGATCAAACTCAGGACCACGCGCTTGCTAGGCAGGCAATTATGCCAGTGAACTATATCCCCGACCCCTCCACGCTTTTTAACTCAATTCCCTGACTAATAAGAGAATCCCCAAAATAGGACTTGGAGGCATCCAGGAAAAATGTCTTACCTGTAAAAACTGTGATGGTGGAGTTATCCTTGCTCGCAGCTTTCAGTGCAAGTGTGATATCTTGATACATCTGCATGAGCAGGAAGACAAGAAGAGAACAGAAAGTAAGAACAGAAAGCGCGAAGCCCACGGATTCGCTCTCCCAGGCCACCACTTAGGTCATTTGTACTTAAACAACCAAAATGGTGGCTCAAGGCATCTGAAAGCACTTTTATTTCTTCTAAAATCACTCTGCATCATCAAGTACCAGGTGCCCCGGTAGGAGCGGAGGAGCAGTAACTTCTTGGCTACACAAGTACACAAAGAACAAATGGTCTTTGAGCTTTCACAATCAATAGAGATCACTGAGTTCAAGTACAGGGCCACGAATGAAGAGTATAAAGCAAAACCACCAGAGGTGCCGAGGACGCCCAGGGCGGGGGCAGGAGGCAGGCAGGGAAAGCTTTTCATGAAGAGCCATCTATCTCAGTTACGACCTCCGGAAAGAACCAGTGTCCCAGGCAGTCGGGAGGATTAATAAACGCCCCAAGGCTGGGATTTCCCGAGTGCTGTGACAGCATCCATGGTAACGGCTTCCAAATGTTGAGTGAGGGACATCTGTGACTCTTTCGGACACACTATGACAGCTTGCAAGGCATTTATTTATTTATTTTTACTTGATCAAGGCTGTATTTTAAATCACTTAACATAAGTTGGCAAATGGCATTTTAGAAGATGAAAACACATAAATGATCAAGATTAGGAATATGATTAATCTATGACATTCACACAACAAAATATTATAAAGCTATTAAATTGTTTCAGTGAAATATTGACATTGCTTAAATACAAAGACTTGCTTTTTTGACAAAGTACATGTATACACACACACACACACACACACATATTTTAATGTATTTAACACAGGGTCTACAGGGTCTCACTACATAGATTGGGCTTGTAGTGATTCACCTGTTTTCAGCCTCCCAGGTGCTGGGATTCCAGGTGCGCGCCAGTCTCAGTCACCCTCTCAGCGCGCCCCAGGGGCAGGTGACACAGGTTCACCTTAGATGAGATTTCCATGTAGGAAAAGACTGATGGTTGTAAAGACACCAAGGAAATAAAAGCACGGACCTCACCTAACACATGAACAAAGACGTGGTCGCTTCCACTGCGGCAGACTCCATCATGACCACAGTAACTTGGCTGTGGCATGGCAAGCTGCCGGCCTGAGCCAGGGTCAGCGATGGCTACATGCGAGCTTTGCTCCAGGACTTCAAATTTATCTGCTATGTGAACCACAGTGGGTTACCTCTTAACCTCCTTTACTGTAAATAAAAATAACAGGCTTCTTGTAGAAATTAAGCCTCTGTACAGAAAGCACTAACGCCTACTAGCTAATAGCAGCAGCTATTGCTCACACAGCTCCACAGAAATGGGTCAGAGCAAACAGAGAGAGTCTGCAGGATTACACTCTCTCCGGACTGGATGGCCCGCAGCCACTTCATGCAACTCTCCCCTAAGAATCCTCCAAGTCGCACCGCTTTCCTCCTGCACACCGCCTGTCAGAACCCCAGCTGCTGCAGGCGTCTCCAGCTTAGGTCCAGCTCTGCAGCAGAGCCAATGACTTGCCTGCAGTTAACTCCAAGGGACGGGGGGCCACAGTGGTTATTTTTTTCATTGTTCTAGTTCACGGCCAGCTTCGATGCTGCACTGGCACAGCAGCTCTATCAAAGCAGAGCTGGTTATGCTCTGTGGAGAATGCCATCCTCTGCTCCCGTTCTTCCCCACATGTACAAGATAAGGCTTGCCTAGGGCGGAAAGGCTGCACTTGCAAGTGGAACTTGTCGCTTCTACAACCTCAGGAGCCCCCTCTGCATATTCTCTTATTATCAATATAGACTTCATTTTCATTAACTGGCTTGTGTTTCTGTTCATAGGAAAGTCTGTGCACCTTTTGGACTCACAGAACATAGCCAAAATGCAGAAATTCTGAAGAGTGCATGCTTGACTAAAAAGTGAAGTGGCCGCCATTACTAGTCATCGTCATCAATCAGACCAGAGATTTCACACAAATGGGAATAAGACTGAAACTCTATGGTTTTAGGGGTGAAAAAGCAGAGAAGGTAAAGCAGAATCAGCGCTACTCTCAGGAGGGTACCATTACCTGATAGGTGATGGCATTTTTTTTGGCCGGCCGGTTCAGTGTAATTACAGTGATGCTGTCTTTGGAGGTCACCACAACATCCTCCGACTCAGGCAGGCTCCTGTGGGCTGCAGGCCCCTCCCCGCTGGAGGATGTAAGTGAAGGCCTTAGGCTGGAAACAAAATCCACGTAGTTCTGCCGGGCCGTTTCCTGAAGAGTCGCGGACAAAGAGTACCATTAGCCCATTAGGCCAGAGCAAGCCTCTGAGGAGCGCACAACCCTAGGAAGTAGCACCTTGCCCAGGGCAGCAGGATTCCATCCAGGACAGGCACGGCAGGATTTCACAGGCTCTACAGATAACACTTGATAAGAAACATCAAGCTCTTTAGAATTCTAGCAAATACACAAATAAAAGCAAAGCATAGTGACAAATAAACTGACCTTGGGCAGGCTGCCTAGGGCGGTCCACGCATCCCACTTGGCCCTGCCAAGGAAGTCGAACACACGTGGTTTGGGCACATTACAAGGTCCTTCTGTGGCCTGTGGAAAAGGGTGGGGTGGTGAATGGCCAAACATGCACACAAACCAGAGCCCTAAGTGTTTAAGATCCATAAAACCCAAAACTAGGACACACGCCTTCCTCACAAACTGGTTGATGGTGTACACAGAAGGATCTGAGCTCCTCCCTCATTCTCTCTTCGATATTGCTGAAAATGCACAAACAACAGAAAGAGATTGGAGCGACAAAAGACGCCACAGGCTCAGGGTTGCTAAATTAAGTCACAGCTGCCCTAATGTGGGAATGACACAAGAGAGAGGCTCTGGGAAGGTGCTTCCTAAATCCGAAGAGTTCTTCCTTAATTCTCTATTGAGGACCACTTTTTCACAATCAAAACAGTCCAACAGCTTTCAAAAGGAATTAGTTAGCAGGTGGAAATGCACAGTAGATTCCCAAAGGTGATCTAAGGGTAACAAAGATAGCACTACTTCAGGGGTGGATCGCGGTAACTCAACTGCAGGACTGGAGCCAGTGGAGCGGAAGGTGGGCTCTGAGACCCTCGGGTCACAGGAAACGTAGAGGACACGTCGGTAAAGGCAAAACTGACTACATATTATTTGCTTAACGACAGGCAGAGGGACTGGCTTGAGTGAAACAGCCCACAGGGCTACTGCTCAGGAAAGATAATTTAAAACTCTATTTCAAAATGTCTCTATCATGCTGTTTGGCAGCATACATACTGTTTTGCAATGAACAGTTAGCTAAGAGAAGAAAGAAGAGCTGGCTCTCACAACTGAACGATCAAGGGAGACTGCAATTTCCTACAGATCCAACCTGCAGGAGTTCACCACTGCGTGGCAGGGAACACAGGCCACAAGGGAGGGCTCCCTGGTCTCCTGGCTATTCTCACTTTGCCAGCGCTGCAGGTGGTGGTAACCACTCCCGAGTCTCAGCGTCCACCAGGGATGAACAGGTTCCCTGCGCTGTTATGCAGGGTCAGGGTTTCTTTTTTTTTTTTTGTTTATGTGTTTGGCACAAGGTCTCACAATGCAGCCAGGACTCCTCAGTGCTGGGATTACAGGCATGCGCCACCACGCCCAGGGGAAGGGCCGGTGCAGCTTGTGGTGCCAGGGATTAAACCCTGGTCCCTGTGCTTGCCTAAGCAGGTGTTTAGTCGCTAAGCTATCCTGCTGGCCCCAGGGTTTCTTACAGGAGGATACAGATTCGAACTGGCCAAGAGGAAAAGCACCTAGAACAGTACAGGGGAAGCAAAGGTGATGAGGTTTCTGCTGGCCTCTTCATAAGCAGCTGCGACACCATGACTGCCCCCAAATTGGGGAAAGGCATGGCACGACACATGGGGTCTTCCAAGCGGAAGCCCATCCCGCTGCACTGCCACTTGTTCTAGGCGCTCCGGATAGATACAACCGTGTGGCCATGCAGCTCCAGGAGGAGGGTCACTCCCCACCCTCCCTAAGCCACACTGCTCCATGCCCTGGGCAAACAAGGTGCTCATTTCAGGCACCACAACTCAAGGGCTTCCAGGTGACTGCCCAGCCCGAGGCTGCAGCCTCTGTGCGGCCAGGGTTACAGCCTTACCAACGGCGGTCATGACAGTCATCTGATAGGAGATGCAGGAGTCCACGTGGCAGGCCTCCCGGGGAAGTCCTTGGCATCACACCTGAACAGCTCCGGTTCTCAGTTGAGTTATAAACATTTCCAAACTTACACCAAAGTGTACTATTTAAGCTCCCAATACCCACTCATCTACACTGAATAATTACCAAACACTGCTTTTCTCTTTTTTGTTTTTGCTTTTCTCTCCTGAACCCCAAATGTCATGCAATTTCATGCCTCATACTTAGTGTGCATTCCTTAAACAGTCTTAGTATGAATTTCTTAAATTTCATTTTATATAACTATGACACCATTAACAATAATTCCCAGGTAGTTTCTAGTGCTCAGCCCCTATTCCAATCTCCCCAGTTGCCCCAGAATACAAGTTGTATCTTTTAAGTATCTTTTATTTGACTGTGATCCCAAAGGGTTACTTTGTGACTTAAAAAAAAAAAAAAAAAGCAGACAGAAATATATACAAATATATACAAAACATGAAAGGCACACTCTAGGAGACATTATTTCTAAAGAGTTATTTGTTCAGAACGTCTCTATGTAACATCAGACAGTGACACAGTCATGAAGCAGAGACCACTGAAAGGACAGGGCCTGGACCAGGGGCACTACATCCAGGTGCGTGGGAGGCAGAGCCTGCTGCACACGGCCTGAGCTGAAATTTGCCCTCTGTCACACTGCGGTGTTGGGGATTTGGCCGCACTGGAGAGAGATCGACTAAATCAGCCTAGTTACTCATCAAAAGCACGACCTGTGTTTTCTTCTGAGACCATCAGCAGCTTAAATCAGTTTTTGCTAAAATCCTCGACTCTTTGCTCCAGACTACAAATAAGATGTAGTTAATTTAGTTAGTAGGTAATGAAAACAACAGGCTTAAGCTTCATTTCCCCAAACTGATCAAATCCATTTCAGCATCTGATAAAAGCTGGCAGAACAGTTGACTGGCCCCGAGCTTACCTGCCCTGGCTCCTTCCCTCAAGACAGAGGACACCAAGATGGGCGTAATGAAAGGAAACTTCAGGACTGAGAGGGACATCCACTCACCAGCCTGTATGACATCCAGTTCCAGACCCCTCTGTCCTGCAGGACACCCTAAAGTCTCCAGCTGTTGTCCTAAACTCATGGCATCCTGGATCCCAGAAAAGCACAGAGCCTCATGCGATCAGACCAGACCACCACCAGCAGGCAATCATTTCATGGGAACAAAGTCACCCCTCGAGCTGTGAGAATACCCCTGGCACCACCAAACTAGGGCTAAGGTAAGGACCGGCTGGACCTGGCGCAGCGTGGCTAAGCCCCACGGGCCCTGACTCTTGCAGCTGCTACTGGAGCTGGCATCTCCGCGGCTCCCAACAGGCATCCTTTCAAGACAAGCATCTTGTCAGCAAATTAACACTGTCACTTTCTAGTTTCTAGTAGCAGCAAACCAAGGGCCCACACTGACAGCCTTGGACACCTACCTGCTTATACAGGGCGTACAGTTTTAGCTTTGCGTCATTTCCTGGATCCTCCTTCAACAGTTTCACCTGATGCACCGCATTTTCAAAATCCTTCTCGCTGGCCACCATGGCTGTTCTGCTCGAGCTGCTAAACCACTTGGAAACCAAGGACCTGAGAAAGACCACAAAGGGGCAGACTTCGATTTTTACGAGTACTTCTTTTTCTGCAGCTTGATATCCCCCACCCCCTAGTATAGGGACTGAACTAAGGGACTCTTCCCAGATTCTTCTGCTGTCTTATTTTGAGATAGTCTTTCTCCATCACTAAAGCAGGCTTGAATTTGATCCTCCTGCCTTAGCATCCCAGAGTGCGGTGCTGGGATTACAGGTACGTGCCGCCACACCTGCCTCGCAGCCGAATTCTAACTACTCTCTACCCTCGCTAAATTGCAACATTTATCTGTAAATATTATCTCCATACCTGTTCCAGCCAGGCATCTGCAAACAGCAGTACAGAGTCCTATGTAAATCAATATTATAGTTAACTGCAGTAATTTTAAAGTAATGCAGGGGCTGGGGACATAACTCAGTGGCATAGTGCCTGCCTGACAAGTGCAAGTTGAATTCCCAGTACAAAAAAAAAAAAAGCTCAGTTCCACCTGACTGTCCATTTAAAATAACGGAGAAGGAAGTTATAATTGAGGGAGGCATTTGTAAGCATTTCAATGAAGGACAAAAGCCCCCAGATTTATTTTCTCTCTCTCCCTCCATCCCTCTCCCTTCATCGTTGTGAGACAGGATTTCACTACACATTTCAGAATGGATTTGAACTCACTATGTAGCTCAGGCTGGGCTTGAACTTCAATTGATCCTCCTGTCTCAGCCTCCTGAGTGCTGGGATTACAGTGCTGGGATTATGCCTGGCTGAATGGACATTTTTGCTATGTAAATTTTGTTATAGGAAGCAAATAAAAGGCATGTAAGGGGGATGGGAAGATAACCTGGAGGTCTAAGCACCTGCCTCCAAGTGCAATGGCCCAGATTTGATGCCTGGTACCACATGCCACGCCAGCCCCTCTCCGAACCAGCCACCGAAATTGGGAGTGGGTGTGCATGCCTGGAATCCAGCACTGAGGAGGCTGAGACAGGAGGATCACTATGAGTCTGAGCTGCATAGCAAGACCCTGTACAAAATAAAATAAAATAAATAAATTTTTAAAAAGGCATACAAGGGAGACCATACTCGTAAGTGAATAAACACTGTGCAAACACTGTATTTGTCTCCCTACTGTAAGAACCTGAAAAGAGTAAATAAAATCTGAAAGGCACAACAGATACTGTGACAGGGAAAGAAATTGCTCAAAAGGAAAGAAAACTGGGACGAGGGAAAGGAAAAAAGGCGGGGGGCCCCCCCCAGGTTCTTAAGCCAACTGTATTACTAATTTCTACTGGTTTGTTGAAAGGAACGGTTAAAACTCACTTTTTTGATCAAGTTTGCATGTCTATATCTGGAAATCTGAACTGCCTTGGAGGTAACAATATGCAACATAACAACCACTGTTAATTTTTCATCAGAGGAAAAAAAAAGGAGCAGGAAAACAGGATTAAAGCACCCAAGTTTCTTCCTGAGATCGTGTCCTGAAAACTGCCTGGTGCTCAGATTTACAAGGTGTAACTGCTATCGGGTAGATTCTGGTTTCTGCCAGCCAAACAGGGGTCCCAGCATACACAGGAGGAAAGAGTAGGCGGGGGTGGAGACAGGAGAAGCGTTCACAGGACGGTGACTGGTCGCCTGCTTCCCACATGACCTCCCCAGAGGCAGGCGAGGATCCACCTCACTGCAGGATGAAGTGGGCTGGCAGAGGTGTCCACCCTCACCCTGGTGTCCCTGGGCCAGAGGAGCAAAGCAGCAACAGCAGGTGATGTTAGGGGCACCAAGTTTTTAAACACATGCCGTAAGCTGGGGTGGGATGGTAAACTTCAAAGCACAGAATTGAGGCAGTAAACAAAACAGAACCCAAATGAAAACAGGATGTTCACCAGGAGGGCCCTAGCCTGGCACAGTGGTGCACGTCTGTGATCCCTGCACTCCGGAGACTGAGGCAGGAGAACTGTTGAGTTCCAGGCCAGCCTGAACTGCATAAAGACCCAACCAACCAACCAACCAGTCACGGTCCTGCATGCCAAAGTTAAGGGCCTTGATGACGACAAGAATAACACAAAGCTCAAATGTCACTTTCCTTGAAGTTACCTAACTTGTGAAAGGCTAAATTCAAACCCCGAAGTATTAGAAGTATGCAGCTCAGTAAAATCCGCTCTTAATATCTTTTACATGTTTTTTTTCTTTCAAAAATGAGAACTACATTTTACCCGAATTTGATGTGGAGAACATTCCAAGTAGAAAAGAAAATTTAAACCATCCACTCAACGCCTACATTTCCCACTTCTCATAAAATGTAGAGCAAACATCTTAAAACGAAATGTGGCTTCTAACAAGCTGCAAAACACGTGCCCATTTACAAGGGAAAATCGGTCGGGATCGCAGCGCTGCGGCAGCCCGCGCTCTCGGGGCTGGCGGGCTCCCGGGCGGAGAGGCGGCCGCAGCGCGGGTGCCCGGGCCTCCCGGCCTGCGGAAGCCACAGCTGCCGTTGCGCGCCTGGCGCGGCGCCCAGCAACCCGCGGAGCGCGGCGGGCAGGCGTCCCGAGCAAAGCTCTCCGCAGCCGGGGAGAGCAGGCCGGCCCGGAGCGCTCCCCGCCGCGCCATCCCACGGCCGCTCGTGACCTTGGCCGCGCAGGCGGAGACGCGCTCGGCGGTCGGAGCGCACCCCAGCGAAACCAGCACGCCAAATCCCTCAGGCTCCTAGACCAGCGTGAGCCCCAAGGGCGACGGCGAGGGCCCGGCGGCCTCTGCACCCGGGCCCGGAGCCTGCGGCGTACCTCGGGCACCAGCGACGCGCCAGGATAACCGCAGCACCGGTGGCGGCCAGCCTGGCGTTAGCGGAAGAGGACTCTGGCCTGGGGGCGGGGCGTGGGCGGGGCTATAACTAGGGTATGGGCGGGCCTGGGGCGGGGCCCGGATGCTGAGGGGCGTGGTCAGGGCGAGGACCTGGTGTGGGCGGGCAGTGGGGCGTGGCCAGGGCTAGCGGTGCGGGCGGGCCTGGGGCGGGGCCCGGGTGCTGAGGGGCGTGGTCAGGGCGAGGACCTGGTGTGGGCGGGCAGTGGGGCGTGGCCAGGGCTAAGGCTGGCGATGTGGACCAGTTCTGGACGCGGGCAGGGCTAGGGCTTGGGAGCGCGTGGGGTGCTGGAGAGAGAAGACTGGCAGTGGTGCGGAACCCGGCTAAACGCGAAGTGCTGAGTAGGCCCCCGGGAACCCCAAATCCAGATGCGGGCAGTGGTTCCAGGGTGGAGGACTGGGTGATCCAGCAGCCCTGAGATCGGAAGCACGGAGCTGCGTTCCGGGTGGAGGATGTGTGGTGAAAGAGAACCACGTTACTCACTCGGAAAGAGCAGAAATTTACAAACCTACAGGGAGGAATCCTAGGGATGGGACGTCATCTATGGAACATTATAATCAATCTTTATGTCAGTAACCACCTGGGGGTATTTTTAGTTGTGCCAAGGAATTTACAAAATATTTTCTACAGGAAGGGTTCTTTTACGAAAGCGGTCCCTGCTGCACCTTAGAATGGGTGTCAAGGTACAGTATCCAGGAATCCGTGGATCTGAGACTTACTGAGGTGACACTCGTGGACTACCAGGTTAACTGCAATAATTTCAACCCTGTGGGGACAAAGATAGTAAAACCTTGTTTACCAGTATAGTTCCTTTTGGAAATGTGCTTGTAATCCAAAACACTTGTGTATCAAAGCAAACTGCCCCATAAGAAATAATGGAAACCCAGATGATTTGTTCCACAGCCCAAAATACTCTCATAAAAATGAGTATAATATGGTAACTTAATGCAACACAGTAACGAAAATAAAGAAATATAAACACATTAACCTGCACTTACCCTTAAAACTCTTCTTGGCTACTGTGAGGGAGACAGAGGAGAGTTGCTGTGTAGGATGACCATCACCACCACACTCATGCACGGGATCGCTGCTGCCCATTGGCTCAGTGGAGTCTTTTTTTTTTTTTTTTTTTTTTTCTGCAATGTTAAAAAGAGCCTGACCCATAACACTTGTTTCTTCCTCCTTTTGAGGATTTTGTATAAACAGATTCATTGTCTCACCGCTACAGCCTATTTCGGGTGGTTTTTTTGCTATAAAATTGTGCACTTTTCTGACATTTTACACATCTTCCTAAAATCGTTTGAAGTGAAGAATTCCTTTATCTTTTTCTACTGTGCTTTGCAGATGAGCA